AGTTAGTATAAAGTTGAGTCATCTATTTTGGAACGGAGGGAGTATTAGGTAAACAAGAATTGGAATAATTTGTGATTTTTTTACTCGGCTAAATTTAGGAATTGGCTAGAAACGATAAAAAATTAGAGAAGTAAAAATACTTCAATAAGGTTTACTTGGCCGTTTACTGCTCTTAAATTTAGGGGATCCGCTAGAGCTGTCCTTATACGATCAAACTGGTAGGTAGATTGCTAGATCATGCATATACTTAGTTACTTACGCAGTTCATGGCATTCTTGATGAACCTGACGTCGTCCAAGCTAAGGCTCCGGCGCACGAAGCGCCTGGGGGAGATGAACGCAACATCGTGATCCGCACGTCTGAACAGAGTGTGTGGGTCTCCCAAGAACGCAGCCGTCGCCGCGAAGGAGGCGACGTCCACGACGGTATTCCACGCGAGCACAAGATAGGAAAAGACCCATGCCGCGGATGCCGCCAGGGCGCCCGCCGACGGTGGCTGCCGGCGCCGCGGCTTATAGATGGCGCCCGTGCGCACCGTCAACTCCCGCATGGTCGGCAGGCGTGTCGGGTCGGAGGCACTGCGCGCGGACGCCAGAAGGAGCATAATCAGCGACGTCCCGTCGCCGAGGGAGTGGTGCACGCGGATCACCACGGTGGAGGTGGCATCGGAGGTCGGGAAGTCGAGGAAGTGGAACTCCCAGAGCGGGCGGGAGCGGTCCATGGGGAGCTCGGGCAGCGAGGCCACGTAGTCGTCCACGGCCTGGTCCGGGTCGGCCTCCACGGCGACGGGGTCCAGCGTCGGGACGATCATGTGGTCGTCCACGTTCACCGCCGTGCGCTCCCACCGTGGGTTCTTGCACCCGTCGGTCACCTGCCGTGCATGCATGCATGCATGCAAGCGCGCGCTCACGGGTTAAACCTAGCTAGTGTTGCTAAGCATAGGTTTCAATCAAATGGTAAGAGTGTATTGTATGTATGTGTACCTGAATGCTGCGGAAGCGCGGGTAACGCGCAAGTTGGGTGGCGAGGCCGGCCCTGAGGACGGGGAGGTTTACGGGGCAGCCAAGCCCGACTGTAACCACGATGTATATAGCGTCCATGAGTATTGCAGTCGGGCTCACGGGCTCCTCCGCCGCGGAATCATTAGACGCCGTCGCTGATCTTGGCGTGCGTATCGGGAGTGGCCGGCCGCTTGTTGGTAGAGCGGCTACCGAGGAGGGGCTACCGGTACTACCCATAGCCAGTTTAGTTTCAAGAAGAGTCACTAGCCACTCGATCGATCACTGCATGCATGAATGGCGTGGCTGGTGTAATATAAAGGGTGAGGACAACTGTTGCTGATAAGGGCATCCAACGCCCACCGGCAAACCTCCAGCTGTCCGGACTGCGGAAGGCATCCAATGCCGACCTGTATCAGTCTGCGGAGCGGTCCGGACGCGATTTCTTTCTCAAACCGGAGACAAAAGTGGGTACGTTTGTGGGAGTCCGGACCGATCCAAGCCCGCTTCTGACTGCCCTCACTCACTAACCTCCCCCCCCCCACACACACATCCCTTCCGGCGCTAGCTGGCCGCATTCATGCCGCTGTAGAGTGCGCCGCTCCGCATTGAGGGCGGCTCAGGGCTGACGTGACCTCTCATTGTCTCCACCACTGAAGCAGCGCGTCAGCCGAGGGCACCGCCCGCTGCACGCCCAACTGAACACACCTCCTCGTCGCATTCATATGCCTCCATTAAACCAGCTAGGAAGCCGAGAAACCTACTCCGACCACACATCTGTTCATGAGCAGGCCGGCATTAAACACAACACCGGCCAAGCTCCTCATGTCTGCCCTCTATTTAAACAAGGCCAGACGCCGGACAAGAATCAGACCCTCCGTCGCCCCCCATCTCCTCCTTCACCACTCCTCTGATGGCTTCCGAAGAGCGGTTCTCCGGCATACAAGCCGGCTGGGTGGCCCGCCGAGCCTGCTGGATACGAGCGAGGCAGCTTGATGCTCCACCTCTCGCGCCTGACCCGACGGAGCAAGTTGCCACCCCAAGCTGAAGCGTGGTTCAGCAACTTACCGCTCCAGTCCAATTCGATGAGGAGTGGCGAGTTGCTCCACACCGGCACAATTGACAGCACGGGCATCGCCGCATCCAGTGCATGCGACCACGCCATCCGCCGTCGATGTGCGCGTAGCCGCGCCATGCAAGCAGAAAAGAAGCCGGCTGCGCGGATGTCGACGAGGTGGCGGCATCACATTCGCGCTCGCCGCCATCATTGAGGAGAAGTAGAACACGGGAGGTTGCCGTTGCTTAGGTACCATGAAGGCCACCGCTAAGGCAACGCCAACGTACACATCGGGTGTCTTGCCCGACTCTTCTCTTGCGAGGACCTCCGTCGATCCCACATGGGCTCCACAGAAGCGGAGCCACCGCCTTCCCCTCCCGTTGAAGCATCAGCCTGGGATTCCACTCCGGCAAGTGGTGGGGAAACGAGCCATCCTTTGCGTTGAAGCATATACCTCTGGGGCTCGGGTTGTCGGACATGAGGAAGACAGAGGGATCCGCGGGCGGCCATTTAGATTAGGTATTATTATACCTCCAGAGCCGGACTAGCACCCTTAGTTGATGTAAATGTATTGAAATCTGTCATGTTTATATGAAAATCCGGCATTTTTATATGAAATCCGTCATGTTTATATAAAATTCAGTCGTGTTTGCACGAATTTTGTCCAGTTGGTTTGAGTTGTTGTAAAAATGTATGTGATATGTCCGTGGACTGGCCCCCTGTCCGGGGACGGATGCGGAAGGAAATTTACGGGTTGCCGTTGGAGATGCACTAAGAATGACTAGGATGGCGGAAAAAAATTGCGGCAGAGTAGGATGGCTATTAATGGCATAGCACTCACAGTTGAAGATGCTCATCACACACGGAACCTGGGTCTGTCACTACCGGCTTTTTTGCTGGTGAGGAGGGCACGTCCTAGCCTATTGGGAAGGTGATCCAACATTGCACACTGTTGTTACAAAAAAAATGCGTGCGATGTGGTTTCACATTACAAACGAATGGGCACAGTGAAATGCGTGCATTGAGTACTTCGTTGCTCTGCTTCATTCGACCGTGTGCAACTAAAATTTTGTTCGTGTGCAATTTAACAAAAGCACGGGTCATAGATTTCACACTACCGGAATCAACCTGTTTGCCTAGTGTCTTTTTTCGGACACTCCGCAGCCTTTGCGTAGTGGAAAAAAAACACTCGGCAAAACATGGGCCTTTGCTAAAGTGACGCGGACTTGTCTATAAGTGGAGTGGCAACTTCATATAGCCAGGCTATCTATTAGATTCCTATCAGCCTATGCCAAATTATGGGACCGAATTCAAATTTAATGCCAGCCGGCCAGTGCCTCACCTGCCAAATACCTCCTACGGTTTCTAGTCCATGTAGCCTTTCGGTTCACAGGTCCTGCACACGCATGAGATCTCCATCCTAATTTTAGTTAGGTGTCATACATGTACTTGCTGTACTCACTATATCAATTAAGTTGGCTAATAAAAGTTGTGATGCCACGCGTAGTTATTGACCACAAAAGTTAGTTTGTATAAGAAAAATCTTAATTAACCTGCCCGCTAAAAGGTTTTGGTACTGCAAATTACAATATAATGAGGTCAACTATGCTTTCTCTTGCACGCAATACACATTGATTTATTTTTAGTACAACTTTTTTGAAATAATTTAATTTTTCGTTACAACTAATCAAACACTGTCTCCATTAAACTCTTCTTAAGTTATCATGTACTTATCGGTCTGTGCGCTTCCATTAAAGTGAGATCAAATATTCTTTTACTACTATCTAATTTATATATTATAGCGAAAATCCATTTATTATTCATAAAACATCATTTTATAATTCTTCCTATTTATAACCATAATATAATACATCAAATTATTGATTGCAAATTTATCAATTGCAAAATATTGTTGGTAGCTTACCAAGTACTCCCTCCGTTCCAGAATAAGTGTCGGTGATTTAATACAATCTATCGTATTAGGGCACGTACATTGATTGATAAGCCTTACATGTAATTTAGAGGTAACAATAAAAGCATGTCAAATCTGGATGATGCAAACACCGGGGCTACTACTACTGATATGGTCATCTTCAAAGCAAAGAAAGGGGAGAGCTCGCTTGATCCAGGTGGAGTCGGCGAGTCTTCGGAAACTGAACCTAGCCAAAAGAAAAAGAAACCGACCCCTACAACTTCTAAAAATTCGGCAGTGGCTGCTGGACAGCCCTGCCAAGCGCAATGAGGTGCTTAAGTTGGAACTGTCGGGGGGTTGGAAACCCCAAGGCAGTTCGTGAGCTTCGCAATGTCGTGAAGCAAGAAGGGTCTGCCCTACTTTTTGTGATGGAAACAAAAATAAGGGCGAAGAGGGTGGAGAGCTTACAGAACACTCTTGGTTTTGTTGGTAGTTTTGCGGTGGATAGTGTGGGACTCAGTTGTGGCATCGGGCTGTTTTGGTCAAGAGATGTTACAGTTGAGTTACGAAACTTCAGTGCTGGACATATCGACGTGATAGTCCAGAAAGCTGATCAGACCTCCCTGGCTTGGAGGTTTACGGGGTTCTATGTGGCCCCAAGGAGTGAGGACCGGCATCACAGCTGGAGATGTTTACGTAACCTGCATGCAGTGCAACATCAGGCATGGCTTTGCTTGGGGGATTTCAATCAAAACCTCTACGGCACAGAACATTTCAGCAGAGCGGGCAGACCTGAGCGGCAAATGTGGGCTTTTCGAGAAGCTCTTGATGATTGCTCCCTGCAAGACTTAGGTTGGACAGGGGTGCCATATACATGGGACAACAAACAGATGGGGGACGCTAATGTGAAATCCCGCCTGGACAGGGGTGTCGCGAACGAGGTGTTCCTGCAAATGTTCGATCTTACTAGAGTGAGACATTTATGTTCAGTGGAATCGGATCATTGTTTTGTCTTGGTTGAGACCAGAGAATCACAGCAAAAAAAGGGACCTAGACAATTTCGGTACGAGGATGTGTGGCAGTCCCATGCAGACTATGATAGAATTGTTGCTGAAGCTTGGAAAAGAAATCATAGAGGCCATGGACTTGCAGCAATAACGGACACTTTACAGAAACTCCAATGTGAGCTTGGGGGATGGAGTGCCCGAGAATTTGGTTGTTTTGCCAAGACGGTTCGGAAGTTGCAACAAAAACTTGAGCAGCTACGGCACCGATCCATTGGCAGAGGCGCTTCTGACGAAGAGTTGTGCTTAAACTGCGGGAGGCTCTAAGACAGCAAGAAATATGGATGCGGCATCATTCTCATGTTCCATGGCTCCGACAAGGCGACCGCAACACCGCCTACTTTCAGGCTCAAGCGGCGCAGCGGAAGAGGATGAACCGCATTGAGAGTCTTCAGCGTGCGGATGGCTCCGTCTGCGCGAATGAGGAAGAGGATAGAGTGGAAGTTCAGTCCTTTTATCAGGCGTTGTACACCTCGCAAGGGTATAACGACATGGATGAGCTGCTCCATTTTGTACCAGCTCGTGTAACGTCCGATATGAATCAACTCCTTGATAAACCCTTTGAGGCCGATGAGGTGAAGACGGCGCTGTTCCAAATGGCATCGCCCAAAGCTCCTGGAGTCGATGGATTCACAGCTGGGTTCTTTCAAAGGCATTGGGATCTTGTCAAGTTGGATCTGGTGCCGGCGATACTCAGTTTTGTTAATGGTGGAGAACTACCTTTGGGTTTTAATGATACTTCCATTACTCTCATACCAAAGGTACGGCATCCACAGTCTATAACACAGTACATGCCCATCTCTTTGTGTCCAGTGCCTTAGAAAATTGCTTCCAAAATGATTACTAACTGGTTCAAAGAGTTGATGGATACAGTGGTGGGAGAAGAACAGAGCGCTTTCGTCCCCGGGCGTCTGATCACGGACAATGTCCTAGTGGCTTTTGAGAGTATCCATTCCATGAGAAGGAGGAAGAAGGGGAAGAATTACTCTTGTGCAGTCAAACTAGATATGATGAAAGCCTATGATAGGATTGAGTGGCATTATTTGCAGGCTATCATGTTGAAGTTTGGCTTTAGTCCATCTTTCGTGAGTTTGGTGATGAAGTGTGTCTCATCTGTCAGGTTCACAGTCAGAGTGAATTGGGAGCTACTACCTTATTTCACACCAACTAGGGGTTTTCGCCAAGGCTGCCCCATGTCTCCATTCCT